GTTGCTGGATCCCGCTTTGATGTTGCCTTTCGTCTTGCCCTCGGTCACCGACATGCTTGTGTCTTATGGCGCCGGAATTGGTGGAGTAAACCGTGAAAGAGAGCGGAAGTACATTCCCACGGTGCCACCGGAGTTTCTTGAGAAGCTAGAGGTGGCCGGCGGGACCAGGAAAGGACCCATGTTTGGAGAAGCGGATTGGGAAAACGAAGAGGTTTGAGGAAGTAACACTGTGGCTGCCACGTATGCATAGCTGAGCATGTGCAAAGTGAGACTCAGTCTGGGATGTCCAATAAAGAGACAGGATTTATTCGGAAGCCTTGTTGCATAAGCAAGAATGTTGCTGCAACGGCAGGAAGCATTGCATGGCTGGTTGATGGTGAGGGTAAGCTAATGTCTTCTCGATGCACCTACGAACCTCGCTACGATATGCAAGCTGCAAGGGACAGAGGCACCCAGCTGCAGATAAGCTTACCGATTTGTGGCGGCGGCACCGGACGCGCACAAGATCAATTGTCCTGACGCGATGAGAATTATCCCGGGGTGGAGATTACCCAACAAACGGCCGACAAGGCACATGTGACACGGAGCGGAAGCAAAGAAATGGTGTAGTCAAATTGTAGGTCTAAGTTAACATGAGGTTGTACTGTATAGCTCGGCATATGGCGTACGGAGTCGTGCAGGCGGAAATTTGAAAAAACTTGTGATCTTCTTTTTCTCAATTCTTTGTTTCTCTTGGTGAGCTACTTACTTACTTACTGTACACTCATTGGTGGACCCATGATCAAGTCTCAGGTCTCACCAGTCACCACGGAACAAACGATGACTGTTATGACAGAGACTAAGGGCAGGGCTTGTGGTTGCAAGTCAAACTTGAAGCTTCGAAAGCTTGGTGGGCCAAGACGTTCGTTGTAGCTCAGTCTAACAAGGATCGTGCATCCACTTCGGAACGAGGCGGCATTGTTTTTATGCTGCATGCACTCAACAGTTGGCATTGAGGCGAGCTACGCTACTTGGGATTACTGCCGTTAGAGGGAACTTAAATTGTTTTCTCTTTTCCCCGTTGTGCGTTTTTTACTGTGCCCTATTTTGAAGATACGTGATGTGATGTTCATTATTCTTTTCATCCAAGCTTCTATGCTAGAGATGCTTTGACGAAAAGGCATGGCTGGCGGTGTTTTACCGCTACTCGATAATCATGCCTTCTCCCGCCTCTTCCTGCAAAAGAAGAATAGAAAAAGAGAAGCCCCCACAAACCACGCGGTAAAGGGTTCAACGTGGAGGGAAATGCATTGGCTAGGGGTCGGGTTGCCCGATGAGTTGGCATCGACAGACCAGGGCATGAGGGGCGGTGACACAACACAGACAGGCTTAGGCTTGACCTTGTTCCAAACCACTTTATGGAATGAACGTGGACAAGTAGACAAGACCGGATTACGGTACCGGGTAGCCGCTCTTCCGGCGTGACCTAACATGACGGTCGGGACGGGGAACGGGAGGATGCAGTGGCTTCCGGTGTCATTGAGGCTCCATATTCTGCGCTTTTATTTGTTTCTCTTACCACAGAGTATGGGTATGCAGGCTGCCTAGAGCCCAAACGCTGGAAGGTAGGTCCTCTGTCTACTTAACTCTGCCCTACCTTTGCTTCAGTGAAGGCCAGTTCTAGGGCAAAGGTCCAAATCCTTGTTCCCCAGCTAGGTCCAAGCACCAAAGGATTGGTTACTAGACTCGGAAGCGGACCTCGGGTAGATCATCCAAGGACCAGATAACGAACGCTGGGACAGATAGATTGGATCCCTTCAAGATTGGCGATGCTTTGAATATCGAAGGAGGGCTGAGACAGTTTTCAGGCCCCAGCCTCCTTTTCTTTTCTTTTCTTCTTTTGACTCTGCTGTCAAATATTGGCGTTTGTGTGTGCGTGATATCCATAAACAAGGGAACAACAAAAAGCAAGGTTCAATCGTATACGGATAATGGTGGTTCTGCCTTATGTAAGGGAGACTAAGGTTCATTGATGGATCTCTGATAGTGTAAAGAGCTTGCATATTCGTACCAAAAGTCCAATTTTTAAGCGGAGATCTTGTAGGTAGACTCTTGACCCACACACACAGAGTATGTATATACAGTTAAACGACTTCAATGGCAGCAACTTGGTCGAAGACCATCTCGATAGTCTGGGATAATTTTCAAGGAACAGGGAATAAAAAGAGGCGGCCGTTTTATCAACGAACAAGCAAAGCATGAAAGGCCCGTGTGAGTCTCAACCCAACATGCATTTGTTGTTGGTCAACTTTGATTTAGCCATGGTGCAAAGTGACGAGCTGGTGATGATGATTTTATCAGCATCCATGCTAGCGATGTTGTGGACTTGCTAGATACAGAGCAGTAGTAGCCAATTAAGCAAAAAACAGAGTTTTATAGTTCGTTTTTTTCTCGTGTAATTGAAATTGGTGGCAACAAACGTTTGCTATAGAAGCACCGAGAGGGTTGCAGGAAAAGGTTTTGGTAACTTCTAAAAACGGTTATTGTGATTGTGGTTGCGCGGTTTAAATTCCTATGAATGGGTTCTGTATTATACCAGAATTGGTAAGTTGTTGTTCAGGTTTCAGTCTGTCTTTCTCTCGGTTTGTTTTTGTTTGTGTTGTTTTGTTACGAGGGGACTGAGGCGGCACTATTGAAATAGTGTATTCATATGAGTTCCAGAATAATTGACGTCCAAGTCAAGGGAACGGGTCAAGACGAGCGAGGCTGGAAGGGGCTGTTTGTGAGACTGAGATGGTCCAGTCCAGCTCTTGTCTTGTCTTGACTTGGGTTGTATTGCCTCGGAGAGTCAAGCTATGCCATAACAGAGCCAATGCTGCAATGTGATGTGATAATGTGTGGTGGTTGTTTAATCGCGGGTACCTTGCAGACACTGTTCTCATTTGGGAGACCTTTTCGCTAATCCTTGATGACTCTTACTTATTAATCTTGGGAATACATACGGGTATCGATTGGATCAAAATGATGGCTCACAGGAATACAACTCTAACTAGGTACTAACCCAACTCTACTGTAGTGTGGCATACGTAGCCCAAAAGAGGCTCGCCTCAAATAAAAAAACCCGACAGGTGCCAACTTTCACGCAGTTTCAAGCTGTCAGTGGTTTTAGTAGTTCACTTAGCTGGCGGCCCAAGAGAAAGGCCCTGACGTTGATTGTGGTGTTTCTTTGTCTTGGATACTGCCTACTAAGTTAGTGGTTTTTTCCGTATGTTATGTCTCGGTCATCCCTTGCGCCCGGAATGTAAACACTTTTGCAAACTGATTCATTAGCAAGAGGTTGCAGCTTGGATCGCGATGGAGATTCGTAAGGGAACAAGACGGGGAAGATCCTTGTAGAATGCGACAACCTCCAAAGTTTAATAATTGGTGTACCCTGGTCGACTAAGTAGATCGTCAAGATCAAGGGCCTTGGAACCGTTGAACTGCATTGTAGACTGAAAAAGGCTGCCACCCTGTTTTTTTTTATGAGGTGATGAATGCATCTTTCTGTTGGGTGTCCATGCTCTACGCTCTACGCTTGTTTCCGTATGGATGGATGTATTGACAACATTTCTTTGTGCCCAAATGTTGGAGAGGGAGGGTTACATTGGATGCATACCTTGTAATTCGCCAATCAATTGACTTAGTAGCTACGCCATAACCCAAGTCTTTGTCTACATATGGCTTTTCTCCCTCTCTATCTCTGCCCGAATATGGAGAGAGTGATGTGTTGTATCTCGGTCACGTTCTCTCGGCCATGCATGTTTAAATCAACAATTCAGGAATTACCATCATGTGTGCGAATGGATCGCATCGCAAACGGTTAGTATGCTGCAGAAAGAATGACGGTGTGCAATTGGAATCGGGCCATGGATACTCATAGTCATAGTAGAGTTTTTTTTTTCACCGTCTCTCAGCCTACCCATGTAATTCGATCCACCTCCACCATAAAGTAGCGGAGCGGGTTCTTGCCGTAGCCAACGGAAAGAACGTGGAGCCTGTGGATGATGTGGCTGTCAATTGATGGACCGAAGCGAGAGAGGGAGAGGGAAAAAAAAAAAGGTTGTTTACTTGCTTGTCGCTGCATTATTGATGAGTCGGTCTAGTTGAGCTGTACTGAATGTAGATGGTAGTAGGTAGACTAACTCCTACCTAGTAGCAATTGTTATATGTATCTCTTCTTCCACACACTCCCATTTCCCTTCTTTTTTGGTCGTCTAATGCTTTAATGCTTTGTTGAGATTTACTCACTTTGCCTCAACCGTTGTTTCTAGCCTGACACTATATCACACGACACAACACGACACTGTCTCTCATAATCACCTAAACTTGGAAATAGGATCCAGTCTCGGTTCATGATTTTACGACTTTTCGCTACTGAACGATCCTTGGCTATTTCTCTGCATACCCGCAACTGAATCCTCGCCTTCGACTTGGTATCAGCGAGATTGCCTTGTCTCAATCAGGTCTGAGACTGACTATTCTGCCCTTTGTCCAACGGTGACTCGGGACCCCAATTTCGACAAGATTCGAGTTCCAGTTGAAATTCACTTCACATTATCAAGACTGGCGCTGTTTGAGTCTCGTTCTCCCTTGATGAAACTGGACCCAACTCGACACGCACGACTCGACGACCTGTTCCGGATTGATCGGATTGGATTGGATTTTCTCCCTTGAGGTTCTACCGTATTTGTCTACACGTCTACAGTAGTCTATCTATAATACCGACTCGTGGCCTTCTCTTTTTGAAACCTTCTTCACCTGAAGCTCTCGGTTCAAGGTTGTCGGCATCAGCATTGCTCCCTTGCATTTGCTGTTGCTCACTTAACCAACCTGCTGGGGTCTCACTTACACCACACCACAGGCCCACCACCTTTTTTCTTCGACAATAACCAGCCACTTCGGCGTTTGCTTCCAGGTTTTAGCCACTATTAAACTGCCGCCGCCGTTGGTTTCTTTGTTGCGTCTGAGCAAATATCGTCATGTTGCCCTCAAAATTTGGTAGTGTGCGGCAAAAGCAGCCTGCCGAACGCCGAACCAGTTTACGACTTGACCCGAGCATTGTGGCTTTACGATACGAAAAGACTGCACCAGCAGAACCTCCCATTATGATTGTTTCACGAGACCCTTCTCACCTCTCAAGGCGCCCTTCATCATCTTCAGCTTCATCTCACAGCTCCCGCCACCGTCCCATTGTTATTGTTCCTCCAGGCATTGTTGCACCGCCTGCCGAGGAGCACCCAGCCCTTCGAGGCTCAAATTCGGCCTCATCTTCTTCTTCTTCGCCGTCGCCAAGAGCATCTCCCGTTTCGGTAGAGGAGTGGAAGCGAGATTCCGGAGTTGCTAGGAACAAGTCTACTTCCACCATCCACGAGGAGGACGAGGACGACTACGAGGAAGTTGCCTGCAAATCGAGGATCCCTGCCGTGGAATCGACCGTGTCGTCCTTGATGTCATCCATCATGTCGCAGCCCAGTACGACAGCTCAGCAAATGGACGATCCTTTTGTGGACGAGAATAGCATCTTTGAGCCCCTAACATCGTCTTCGAGCGAGGCCTTGTGTCTCTTGTACAACGCTCATTGCATGACACCGCCTAGAGGGTCCCGCTCTGATGATGCTGCACCCACGTCGCCATTCACATCTACAACTACATCTACGCCCGCAACACCTACTCGACCCAGCAGAGGATCAATTACACCCATTTCTGCTGCTTTTGCTGAATACCTCCCTGTTAGCATGCCCTCATCCCCCACAGGTCCTGCTCCTCAATCTTTCTGTCGATCAATTCCATCATCACCTCGCTGCTCTACCTCTACCTCATCTGCCCCCACAGTCTCCAAAGGTCCCAGCTCACCGTCGCGCTCCCGTTCAGGGTCGTCTCGATTTGGTTCATTTTCCCAGATGTTCGCTGCGCCGATCCAGATTCAGCCCTTGTGGCGGGGCCCTACGAGCGCTGGTGAAAGCTCAAGCTCAAACCCAAACGCTGGTATTAGTGCTCTTCCCAGCACTACAGCCAGCGCACAGTCCACTATCTCTGCCCCTGGCGCTACTGCGAGCGCTACCGCCAGCGCCCCAGCCACTGATGCCGCTTTGGCCAAGCCCTTGGCTGGGACTGAATTAGAGCAATCGCATCCGTCAGGAAGTGGCCAGGGCTCCTCCCATTTTTGGAACAGGTCCCGCTCTGCCTCCACAACCTCGAATAATGGCACTAGCAATGCTACTTCAGCGGACACTTCATCTAATAACGATCTCCCGCTCCCCTTTGCCTTTGCCCCCCTCGACGTCTCCATCCCCTGCGAAAGTCTCCTTGACGATGCCTTTATGACTTCTGTTTCCTTTTCCAACCGTGGAAGCATCATGTTTGCGCCCCAGGAAGCGGTCGCTATTGACAGCGCCATCAAACAGCACCAGCACAACATGGCTTCGATTGATTCGTCCTCATCAACCTCTACCTATTCTTCTACAAACGTCGACACCCTCGCGACAGCAAACAATGACGAGTCCAACTCTGGCTGTGCCACACCAACTCCTACTCCCTCTACGGCCGCTCCTCATGACCTCACACCAACTCCCACCACTCCTACGACCCCAAAGTTTCAATCACAACCCCTTCCTCGACCCAGCGACGAGTCCAACGACATGAACAACTCCTTTCAGGGGGCCGACGATGGTTCGGGTTCCCCTCAGGACCCGACATCAGCCCCCGACATTCGTGTCTTGGCCGCCGACGTGGAGAAGGAATCTCAAAAGGTGAGATCGCTCTATACTGTTGGCGATGGTTCCCACGGTGAGCCTGGCAGGAGGCACTCGTATCACGAGCGTCTTGAGGCAACTCCCGAGGTCCCGTCCGAGGAGAATGAACTTGACCCGTATGATTTTCCTTGAATGTCCCAATTATCATCATCGCGGACAATGATTTATGCTAACCTATCTTTTTTCTAGTGTTCCAAGGCATCTTTCTCCGGCTTGGCAAATGCCCGCCTCTGGAAGTTCTTCTTCCCTCAGGTCTAGAGGCGGACTTGAGGACTGGGATGACCTCGAAGGCGCCCACGTTGACCGATATGGATTCATCACCATGCCACCGCAACCTGGCTCAAGAATGGGCACGCCTTTCGAAACGAGGTCCGCGTCAGGGTCACCTAGGAAGCGTAGCATATTGCAGAAGCGAGACCCATATACCCTATCATCCACTCTCAGTGGTAGTGGTCGGAGGACTCCAACAAGAAAGGTTTCTGCTAGATCGCTCAACACCCAGCATTCCGAATTATCAGTATCGACATCGCTTCGTTCATCTAGGTCAGTCATAAGGCAGGCCAGCAATCTACTACCACATAACCGCGACCGGCGATGGATGGACGAGGCCGGCGATATGCTCAACTCTGCACCTAGCCTTCAGGATATTGTCGACGAGATCCAAGCCGAGAGGTTAACAGAAGTTATGAAGCGAAAAGAGTGGGAAAGGTCAGAAAAATGGAGGAGGATGGCCAAAGTAGTCCGCAAAGGCGGCGAGGGTGAGGGTGAGGGAATGAACTTTGAGTTCGATACCAGAAACCCGAAACTTGTCGAGAGGACCTGGAAGGGAATCCCCGATCGATGGCGAGCAGCAGCGTGGTGGTCTTTTATGGCTACCAGTGCTAGGGAGCATGGAGGGATGGCTTCTGAGGACAAGATTGTGATGGAATTTCACCGGCTCCAACTACGGAGTTCACCAGACGATGTACAGATCGATTTGGATGTTCCCAGAACCATCAGCCGCCATATTATGTTTCGACGTCGTTATCGAGGTGGTCAACGATTATTATTTCGAGTCCTTCATGCCATTTCTATCTATTATCCTGACACAGGATACGTCCAAGGGATGGCATCGCTGGCAGCTACATTGCTCTGCTACTTTGATGAAGAGAAGAGCTTTGTGATGCTAGTGCGCATGTGGCAGTTGCGTGGATTAGCACGACTGTACCGCCCGGGTTTTGAGGAACTCATGACGGCCATGACCGACTTTAGCACAAACTGGCTCAACAAGGAAGTAGCCAGTAAGCTGGTAAGTTTGAAACCTCATGGCACCCACAAGTTTGAAGCTTATAGTTCCAGGACGAATTATGTATCGACACTACTGCTTATGGTACTCGTTGGTACCTGACTTTGTTTAACCTTTCTGTCCCCTTTGCGGCCCAGCTGAGAATCTGGGACGTGTTTCTTTTGTTGGGCGATGGCTCTATTACTGCCAGACCTGACAGTCGAAGGTCCGAGAGTAAGCCTACCTCATCAGGCGAGTACGATGTTTTGCATGCTACCAGTGCAGCATTGGCTCAAGCCCTGCGGGAAGTCCTTCTGGGTGCCGAGTTCGAGAATGCCATGAAGGCATTGACGTCGGCAATTCCCATAAAGGACGAGGACCTTTTAATGAAGGTGGTCAAGGCGGAATATAAACAACACCACGGCAAGAAGAAGATGTAGCGCGCCTTTTTGCCATGACACTGGTATAACGGGGGCATTCTCCTTTGTCTCCTTTTTGACTTGATTGCTCTTTGTACATGCGAAGCTGTATCATGATACCCCACAGGGTGCTTTCTTGTTTTAGGTTGCTTTGCTTTGCTTTGCTTTGCGTTGCGTTGCGACATTGCTCGATACCCGTCTCTCATGCTACGGCCTCTGAGAGACTACATGCCTAGACAAGGCCATTCTTTTCTATGTGTTGGTTCGCGAGAACGTCATGGATTCAGAAACAGACGGGGCTATTCCCTTTGAGTGGTTGATAGCGTTTGGAGCCATGGAACCTAATCCTATATACCCCGTTCCTGGCACTACTTGTTTTGTTATCTTGCTTTAAGGGTTACTATGAGGAGGCTTGGGAGTGATATGGTTGTGATTGATAGCATTTTAATGTACATGCATGAGGAGGATAAGGGAGATTATGAAAGGGATACAAAGCACCTAGATGGGATGGGATGGGATGGGACGGGATAGGAATCAGGAGAAGCCAAAAGATAAGCGAGATACGAGTGCCATAACCGCCTCGAAGTTAATGTATATGCAATATTGGTTACAATATTTTGTATGATTTGCTCAAGTGAAAACCCCATGTTTATTCCAAGTTGGTGAGCTGTGGCTGGTTTGGCTTTCCCGATTCCTCATATCATGTCATATCATGTCATACCATGTCATATCATGTCATATCATGTCATATCATGTCATATCATGTCATATCATGTCATATCATGTCATGTCATAGTTTATTCCCCAGCTTACAGTTCAAGATGGTAACATAGCGCTATACAAGTGTCTAGCTAAGAATCAGGGACAGGGACAGGGTTCAAATAAAGGTGTCTACAAACCCAAATAGGTCGAACCTTTGTGATGACCTCAGCCGCATTTGTTTTCAGAAGCTACCGATCTGTTCACCCCTCTTCCTCTTCCTCCGAGCTCCGTGCGGTGCGGGGGACCCGGAGGACCGGGCGCCATCATGTCGGAGGTGGGCTCGGCGATGGAATCAATTGTAGAGAAAGCAAGACGAAGATTATAGTTTTGAATGCTCTAATGAATGGGAAGCTGTGTATCGGTTAGCCAGTTGGTGGGTAACCTTGCACTTATTATTGCTACTATCAAAGAAGTTGCGTTCAACTTTGATGTGATTGATGGATTGCACTGCATCATATATGATGCATCTATGTACATTGTCATGCGTATGGTAACGCGAGATGTTAATTCTACTGCAACTATACCTGCCTAGTAACAGTCCCCCATGCACTCTGCTCTCTGTTGGTTGATTCTTCCTATCCTTCCATGCTATGCAGAGTTGATGCGCAGACGGCCGAGTTTTCCTTTTCAAGACAAGCCACAGTTCTTATTGACTTTTCTTTCTCTCTTTACACCGTTCCATGGTTGCAGTGGGATGAGGAGGCTTATGCACCGAACCCATTGGCCTTTCTTACTCATCCACATATACACCTTCTCTTATTCATCATTATTGCTATTGTTGTCCCCCTCTCTTGTCTTTCCTCTTTTGATAAAAGCCATGCAAAGTGTGGCTTGTCTTTTTTTTCGTATTCATTCTTCTTCCCCTCTTGTGTGTTGTTGTGCCTCTCAGCCCTATTCGGTCTGATATCTTCACTTGGTGCTGGATCCCTAGAATGTGGCTGGTCTTGTCTTTTGGCTTGTAGTCACCCACTGGTAATGAAATGGATCTTTCCTAGATCGGAATTTCTTAGAGGGGCTGAAGAGTTCAGTCAAGATACATGCAGAGCCCTTTGCCCGGACTTACAAGAGCAACACGAGGTACCCTTCTTTTCTGATGGGATCTGTATGATTGATACTTAGAATAAGCGACCTGGTACTAACGAAATGGCGTTCAGTAACCGTAACTTTGTTTTGGGGCGTTCCTGGATATAGAGACCTGGCAACACCGATGGTTGACCTCGAGACTTCCAGTAGATCGAAGTGGCTCAACTTCTTTCTAGCCGAGTTGTGGATGCAACGAAGCCACTGAAGCTAGTAGTTGTATGTAGACCAATTATTTGGGCATTACTTGGCCAAGACAATAGTCTCATGCATCTAGTCCATGTTCGTATTATGCTAGACTGCTCATACGCCTGTCACTCACTCGCTCACTTAGTGCTCATTCGCCATCGACTTCTCTTGACAATGTTAGTTATGCATTGGCTGAAGCTGCGAAACTTCATCTCATCCAAATCTAAGTCCACTGGATATCTATAATCGTATGTGAACTGTCCTGAGTGCTTCAATATCTGCCCTGCCACGTAGCCAACCCGTCGAGCCTGAGCCCGAGTCCTGTCCACTGTTCAATGCTATTCCCCCAACCAACTACCAACTCCTTTCGACAAGAAAATAACCATTTTAAGAAACTCCGATTTTCCTCCAAGCCCCAGGCTCTTCCTCATATCCTTACCCGTGTCCAATGTTGCCCGGTACCATATGTATAATTGTGATGCAAGAACCATAGAGATGTGTTTCAGAAATATACAGATACTTGGAGCCAATCGCATTGATAGCGCGTGACAAATGCGATTTGTTCGGATGAACCGCTCTCATTCCAGCTGCCCAAATAAATAACTCCCCCTGAGCCGCAAAAAGCAATTATACTCACTTAGTTTGCGGGCTGTCCTTATGAGATATGTAAATAATAGCCGCGCGACGATTGATCGACAAACGCGTCTATGTGGTCAAGTTCTCTATCTTTCCCCTGTACTATCGCGCGGCTTGGATGTTTCTGTAATATTCTCCAACGTCTTTGAATCTTCCGGAGAAGATTGTCTGTATTGAGGCCCGCTCTCATCGCCTGAGCGAGCAGGCCCGGGATACTGCGCGACGGGCTGAGGCCCCTCCGAGAGAATCGCTGACACTGACTGTCTCGAATCGCCATGTTCGTTGCCCGGTCGTTCTTGCTGCGACATAGGTGTTGGGGCTGGCGACCTTCGTATCGGCGACCTTCGTATTGGTGACCTTCGGCGTAGAGGCCCGCCGAAACTCTCCCTTCGAGAACGCCCTGGCCCAGTAACCCTGAAGGGAGACATATCACTCCTTTGCCGCGAGTGGCCGTGAGTTGGCCCACGAAATGGCGCGTTTGACGAGCTGACTTGGCTAAAGGATGGCGGCGATCGATACTGTTGTTCGCTGCGTGTTGGGGAAAGGGCATGCCCGGTGGCTTTGCGCTTTCTGGGAGTTTCCCCTATTGACAGAGAAGCTGCATTAGTTCACAGAGAATCTCGCTTTCTCTTAGTCTTTGACGAACCAGAAGGACTTCCGGGTCGATTCGAGCTACCACCAGCTTGCGTGTTTGGCGGCTGCCAGTGATGAAAGTATATCGAAGAACCCGCTTGTGGTTCATACTGGTGCTGAGATTGCTGCGTTGCAGGAGCATGCGCGAGTTGCGGAACGTTGGGAATGTCGGCACGGCCCGGTGTGAATACCATGGGTCGTCCAACTACGCCGCTCACTGTCTGGCCTCTAGGCCTCGATGGCGATGGCGGGTATACGTATCCGGCTGCTTGTGTCGACGCAGAAGGAATACCCTGCTGTTGGGCATGTGGCTGCGACTGAGATTCTCGTTGATGCTCTGGAGGCGCAGGCCATTGAGTAGACGTCGCCTGAGCATGGGGAAGAACTTGACCAGGTGGCATAAACTGTTGGGCCCATTCTAGAGCAGTGTGAGGCGGTAGACCTCCAGCGCCCATACCCGCGAAAACCAGTGGCACCATTGGGGGAGGGATACCCGCTTGAAGGGATGTCCTCAGCATGTCCAACTCAACCCTACGTTGGTCTAGACGCAGACTCTCCTGTCTTGTTCGTTCTTGTTCTTGCCTTGTTCTGTCCTCTTCTGCCCTCGCCTGCAGCCAAAGCTTCATAGACTCTTCTGCTCCCTGCCATTGCTGAGGTGGAGCGGGTAGCTGGCCCCGATCCCTCTGTTGGTGAACGAGTGGCCCTAGTGATGGCTGTTGTTGTGACTGCTGTGGTAGTGGTTCTGGTGGAGGTGGTGGATGATGTTGATGATGTGAAGGTGGAGGAACACCAACAGTTGTAGCCTGCTGGGGAGGAAGAGCCATGGCTGCCGGTGGCGGCAGACCACGGTGAGGAGCCGACATGGGCTGTGATGGTGAACTATGTCCCCTATAAGCGGTAGGTAACGATTTAGTTGCCGGTTCTTGATATATCAAAGGGGGGGAGAGTCGGCAGGTTGAAGGCGGAGTCGGAAGATCATAAACAGACTTGTAGCCGTAACTTGGTGGCTGCTTGACGGTAAGCATCGTTATGTGGTAGCTGGGCTACACCAGTGGGGACATTGTGCGGCGAGTGCGTGAGGGCTTGGAAGTTAATAAGGAGGTAGCTATTGGGAGGCTGGGGTTCTGTTGTTGTTCACTTTTTCACAGACAAGACGGTTCCAGCCAAACAGAGAGAAGAAACGGCCGGGTAAGGTATACAATACACGCGCAACTGCTAAAGAAAATATACATCCAGCATCGAAATATTGAAAGAGGGAACAAAAGCAACAACGACAGCAGAGAGATGCAGAGGGAGATGTTAAAATCTCTTCCGTATGCTTGTTCTTTGACAATGACGGCCCGGAGGTGGGATGCTATTTGGAGGGAGAAAAGGGCAAGGATAAGATGAAGCAGAATAAGTCTGAAAATGGAGAAGAATAAGAAAAAAGTGCATACAATGTGGGTTGTGGACGTTGTATAAGACGGCCAGAGACAACAACGGGCGGCGAGCTGGAGATGTCGGCCAGCTCCAGAGTGTGGCAGTCGAGGTAAGCGGGGCAGATGAAACCAGTTGACAAGCAGGGCCAAGCTCATCTGGAACCAGTCATGGATGGCTCTTCCATATATCTAGCACACATGGGGGGCACGCGTAGAAAAGAGCTTTCAACGATTGTAAGTTAGTGAGTTGAAGTTAGAAGTGGGGAAGACTCAAGGCTGACAAGACAAGGTGAGAAGTTGATC